GGCCCGCGTCGGCGGCTGGCCCAGCCTCTCCGGCTTCAACATGCGTGAGGCCGCGTCCATCTACTGCACAGTGGTGGCCTGCTACCTGGTCATCCTGCTGGCCGTGCTGCAGGGCTTGGCGACCCCTGAGAGCCCCTTCCCCTACCACATCCCGCTGGACCCCAAGGGGACGCTGGAGCTCTCGTGGAACGTCAGCTACGCCCAGGAAGACATCCACTTCCAGCTCCGCGTGCATGGGCTCAGGGCTGGGGTCCTGTTCGGGATGTCGGACCGCGGGGAGCTGGAGAATGCCGACCTCGTTGTGCTCTGGACCGACGGCGACACGGCCTACTTCGCGGTAAGCCCTTCCCCAGCCTCCCGCCCTCACCTCACCCGGTCCCCAGTCTCCTTAGCCTGGCAAAGGACAGCCTTCTGCTATTGATGCATGCCCGTGTTCACTCTGCTCTGAGCCAGGCCTGCCCCACGTGTGGGCACCATGGGCCCGGCGACGTCAGGACACGGCGAGACTGAGGTGCTGAGGTCTTGGGCCGCACGCCCCAACGACAGGTCCCAGCCACGCACGCGACTGCACACCCCAGCCACCTGAGTGCAGACCCGCGGCCCCCAGCACCACCCAGCACCACCCCAGGGCTCACCGTGGCTTATACGGCCAGGCATGGCGCAGGGCGCAAACCTGTGCTTGTACAGGCTGGTGAGCTGAATGGCGGGCAGCCACCCCTGGGGGGAACAGCCCTCCAGAGCCGAGCCCAGGCAGGGTGGGCTCCCGACTCCTTTCTTTTGAAGTTCCCCTGCCCTCCTGCCTTCAGTGTGGAGGCAGAGTTCTCCTCCCAACAGTCGGAGCCCTGGGGCCCTCACCAGGCTGCAGGAACCGTGGAGGAGAGAGCCCCTGTCAGCCCGCCGCCCCTCCCACTTTCCTTCCCACAAGGAGCTGATGAAGACGGCCCGGGGGCTCCAGGCTCCTCTCTGGACAGAGGTCCCCTCCTTCAGCTCCAGCCAGTGGGGCAGCCCTGCAGGCATGTGGTGCTGGAGTTAGGAGAAGGAGTCAGAGCTATGAGTCAGTTGGCTCGCCAGCCCTGTTGGCACTGACTCTGGCGTGGAGGTCGTGGGTGGAGGCCCACGACTCAGCCAGGCAGGTGCTTCACCCATTTGACAGGGGGGCACTGAGGCCAGGTGAACCACCGCCATCTGCTTGGGACCATCTGGGCAGTGCCCTCCGGGGTGTGCTGCCTTCCAAGCGCTGGGCACTCAGCAGCTAAGGGAGTCGCAACCAAGAAAGCCCAGTTCCTTGGGAACCAGCAGTTAGCGTAATGGCTATGTTGCTGGACTCCCACGTAGTCAACCGCGGTTCGCGTCCTGGACCCCGTGGCCTAAAACTCCCGCCCGGCT